ACTGTCTAGCTAGAGTAAGAAAAAAGTGTAAAGAACATTTTATCATTGTCACAAAACTAAAAATTATGAAGAAGGTTATTTTCGGAATATTTAAACATGGTCTTTCTTTGCCCTCAGAAATAAGCCTTTGTAAAAAAAAAAAAAAAAAAAAAAAAAAAAAAAAAAAAAAAAACCTCACTCTTTTATTCAAATTAGCAAGAAGTTTTCGTGTTTCAAACTTACCTTCATAAAACCAAGACAGTTTTAAAACAGGTTTTACTTAATTACGCAGGTGATTAATAATTAAGTTGTTTTTCCCTAAGAAATTAAATCTTTTCATTTCTATTTAATAGCGATACAGCACTATAGAGCTCTCCATTCTTTTACCTCTCAGGAAACTTTCAATCAAAGCTAAAGCTAACCGAATGACATAGTTCATACTATGATATATTTAGAGGCGTGTTAATGAATTTATTTGCATAGAAGCACCTGTCTAGCCTTAAATTATTTTCGTTAATTGTTGATAAAACTCCCTTGGATAATGCAATGAAATGTATGGTATAACGAACAGTATTCAAGCTCAAAAGTCCATTAAACAATACAAATAATGGAGCAGAGCAAACACAGACCTCTAAAACATCAGAGGTGGGATCAGGTGACATGGAGGAGAAATCATTCCCTGCCGACCGGTCACACCCGTCGTGTGCTCATTCTCATGATCGGGAAATAACGGTAAAAAAAACCGTCGACAGTTATTCAGTGTGAAAATAATGGCCTAACAATAAGTATGAAAAACATCAGTGAGCATTTGACTTAATGATAAATTGATTGATTGATTGTATATTGTTTTACGTCCCACTCGAGAATTTTTCATTCATATAGAGACGTCACCATATACCGGTGAAAGGCTTCAAAATTTGACCTTTACTCGGCACTCACTGCCAATAAGAGACACACCTTGTCATCGGTGTTTTGGTTTAGGGTAAATTGCAATATATTAAAAAATCGTTTATTTTTAAGAGGGGATTTACATTGTATATCACGAAACACGTTTTAAAAAATAAAACATTTGAAGCAAAGCTTTCTAAATGAAAATTTATATTACTATTAAAGTACATGCATTAACAGAAGTATATCTTATTCCCATTATATTTTATATCTATGCTGTTTGGTGCTAAGATTAAAAATATATCCAGATAAAGTTCATTACTTCCGGGTTAATTATGTAATTTGGATGTGCCTTAGGCTCAATGACATTCCAAACAACTTTCTCATTAGGAAATTAAAAGAAAAAAATCAGAATCAGAATACATTGTTTTCATGTATTTTACCAATGTATGTAAACAACAGTGATTTCTTTAAACCAAAATTGCCTTTAAACATTTTTCTTGAAAAAAATTAGCAGGTACCCAATGTTGAAAATGAACTTGATCAACTCAGTATGTACTCCTAAATATGATACATTTTTTTCTTATGGTCTAAAGAAAAAAAAGATTAGTGTTAAGATCTTCCTTAAAGATAATTCTAGTTTTACCTTTTAAAAACGCTTTAATAACATATATAATCACGTTATCTAAAAGCTGTCCGATTGATATCGAAAGTAATTCAAAAAAGTTACATTTTTGTGGCCTCATTCATTCATTACTTGGCCCATTTATTAACAGCTTCTTTTTTTTTTACTATAAATTGTCTGCTCATGTATGATTTCTGTATATATTTACGGTTTATTCCCCGAACGTCTACTCGCTAAAACAACTATTTAATTATCACACTCAATTAAAAGGCCCTCGAAGGGGTCCAGGTAGCGTTTACCTGTGTTATCTTGATTTAACAAAGTAGACAAAATTAAATGATTTAATATTTACTGATAAAATTGTGTACTAAAGCACATATTTATTGATTAAATACTTGCTATTATTGAAGGCACGGAACAAATATTTTTTTTTCATATACGTGTACATGTAATAAATATTTTTATTTAAAATACATTTAATTTCGAAAAAGAAACATAACTGTACAAGACATTTAAATTAACAAATAGCATGTTATAAATTATTTTCAAATAAATCTAACACTTGGTACTTGAAGCATCATTTACATCACATATTCACATTTTAAGCTTTGTTTAATCTAATTATTAAACATGGAGAACTTTTTTCACATCGCATTTGCAGGTCCATATAACGAAAAAGAAGGGGGGGGGGCATTTTTCTGAGCATAGACTTTTCCTGTAGTATAGTCTATTCCTCTAGATCTAATATGTAAATTTCATTTAGATGCTGCCCCTCTTACTTTCTGTTGCTGTAAAGTCGAGCGCTGGCGAATTCCAGCACTTGAAAAAAAAATCTACAAATATTTAGAGAAAGTCCACCCCTCCCCACACATGAACACACCCCTTAGAGAGCCCCTTAATTGAGTGTGATAATTAGATGTTGGTTTAGTCCAGTAGACGTTCGGGGAACACACCATATTTACTTCGGAGATCCATTGAAGACAGAAAAAGAAAACATTTGTTCTTTACATCTAATTTGTTGAATAGAAATCATCATTTTCGTTCTTATGTCAATTTTACACTCAGTGATGGCAGATTGCATTGTGAAACGATGCAATGCAACACCTTTATATTGAATCCGTATATTGTCATGTACATTGCTGTAGTTCACTGTTGCATCATCGCACCATCGAGGTTTAGATCGAGAGTGTGATGTCGCGGTAATACGATGACGATGAAGCAATGGCGCAATAGAACGATGACGATGATACGATGGCGCGATGAAGGGATAGCACGATAACGCAATGATGCGATAGCGATGGCACTATGGTGCGATGAATATGGCGTGATGGTACGATGACGATAAAGCGATGTTCATTATCGTTCCATAGTAGTAGCTCACCATCATCATCTCATTGTCGTGCCATTGCATCATCGTCATCGCGCCATAGCGCCATCGTCATTGTGTCATCGCGCCATCGACCCTTTAGTCGATGCTCGATGGTGCGATAGTGAAGTTCATGGTCCTCTCAGGATCCCATATCTATATTCTTTATCACGACTTAAAGATTGATTGTATGTTGTTATACGTCCTGTTCGAGAATATTTCACTCATAAAGACGTCATCACTAAATACCGGTGAAGGGTTTTAAATTTAGACCTTTACTAGGCACTTAGGGCCATTGAGCAGTGAGGGTTATTTATTGTGCAAACGCCTACCGTGACACGGGGCCTCGGTTTTTAAGGTCTCATCTAAAAGACCCACAACTTCCACTTCAAAATGCCGAGCGCTTGGCGAAGGAACGGTTGCTACCAATTTATTTTTATCGACTTGGGTCAGTGATTCGAACACACGACCTTCCGATCACGGAGCGAGCGCCCTATCGACATCGTGATCGGAAGGTCGTGTGTTCGAATTACGACCTACAGGAATTTTTCTTTAAATTAATTCTACACGTATATGTTCTCTTAATTCAAATTTTTTCTAATTATGTAAACTAGGAAAGAAATGCTTTGAATTATTTTATTTTTTAGTATAGTTTCGATGTGACAGCATAAATTTTATAAATGATATTGCTTAGCTCAGACCAAAGATGAAAATATATGTGTCCAAACAGAAGTGAAACAGAAACTTTGAAAAAGAACCAAAAATCCCAGTTAGTTTTTTTTTCAAATAAAACAAATATTGTGAAAATATACTCTACATAAAAAACAATAGATGTTTTGGACAGATTTAGTGAAAAGTTATTTTTTAAATAGAGTGCAATAAAATAATATTTTTACCGAGGGATTTAAAAACGCCTACGATTGTCATAAACGACAAAATTTATCTTTAAAAGATTCCTTATTTAAAACTGGCATGGCATATATGTCAATGGTTGGAATTCAAATTACAGAATGACCAGAAAACTTTATTTTCCCCAAGCTTTATTCATGTAGACCAATTTATATCGTGAAATAATAAATAGGTTTTCTATACAGGAACCATTGAATTATATAAATCTTCATCTATCCTACTTTATTACTACAAAGACAATGTATAACATGTATAGTTATGATAAAGGACAAGATAGAGTAAGATCCCTTTTTGGCCCCTGGCTTTTGGCTTGTCCCTGAGAACACTGCACTAGTTCATAATCAAAAAATTTTTGTCATCCTTGGTATAAAATTAGCATTGGTTTTAAGTGGCTATGATGTAATACACAGATGTCACAAGAAGGTAATAAAATTCATAACTCTCTTAATTTTCTCAGTTTTTTTTTTTTTTTTTTAAATTTTCAACAATTTAAGGAGAGAGAGTCTGCAGCATTTTTTCATGCTTCATAGTTCTACTCCATATAAACGTTTAGGAGAAATAGATTATCTTCTGTTTTTCCATCTTTACTTTCTCATATTCTTATAGTAATATTCGAGAATCGACTGTTTACGTCTAAAAGCTTATTCGGTGCACAAGTGCTTGTTCTGAGTACAATCAATCTTTTAACTGAGGCAGGCTAATGACAAAAATGTCCATGTAATCGGGGTTTTAAACGTCTTGATTAAAAATTGTATTTTGCAGATTCTATGGACGTTATCATGGCGGGTTTGTTTACAATTGCAACCTATAGTAGGATCGAATGTTGACTGGTATTTATTCCATTTTATTCATTTATGGTGTCTACGTTTCCCAACTGATTCAGTACAAAGAACATGTCCTATTTATGACCTTTCTACAAATACACCTATCATTAAGTAGATACTTTTCAAACTAATTAAGATACCATTTATTTTGACTATTTTGACCACGGATCACTTTTTTCATTCGAATTTAACTGGACAACAGAGGATGCACATTGTCCCATCTTTGTGTTTTCAGGTTCACTGTTCGTTATTTACACCTTTTCATAGTGACTTCAATGCTATACATAGAATGTCAAATTTGTGAAACTGACCTAGAAGAATACAGTTTACCTTTTCTATCAGATCCTCTTCGATCCTTTATTGTCAAGGACTCATTGAATGGTCCAGACTTTCACTTCAAATACCAAACTCTTAGAAAATTCATTTATTACTTAACAGAAAGATAATAATGTTTAATTTAAGGTACATTTAAGGTTTTATTAGAAACACAGCTCTTGCGATAAAGAAAAAATATAAATCAAGATCCACAACATAGAGTACCTTCAGAGTTACCCGTACAAACATTTAAACTACTTTCTATAATAGGACAATCTTTTACGTTAGTCATTGATTAGAAAAAATCAACTATAAGACTTTATTTAGTAAGTTACTGGCTGGTTGCACCACTGTTTGAAGCAACTCACCGAGATTGAGAAGATTTTTATCAAGCAATACTTTGAGCAGTGTCGTTACTATATTTATGACTTCCGCCAGCAATGGCTTTAACTGCGGTAAGAAATCCTGAATCAGCTTCAGAAGAGCTCCAACCAGTTCTCGTACAATCATTCTCCAGTCCGGAAGCATCATATCTAGGAGAGTCACCAATTTTTTCACTATATCAACTAAATCTTTCGTAACTGTTTTCAAAAGTTCGGTAACCTGATTGAGTAGGATGTTCACAAATGGCAATAATCGTACCAATAGAGTCGCAAGCTTTTGAAAGATTTGCTGCAATGTTATCTGAAGATGAGATTGGGACATAGAGGATATTTGTGAGAACAAAGATTGCAGTGGTGAATTCAAAATTTGGGTCAATTGAGGATTCTGAACCCCATAGCCTCTTCTGGCATTTTCTGTAAAAGAAACATATGGTTTAACATTTTGAAGTTTATATAGGTTTAGATTTATATCATTAATGAAAAGCTCAAAATAATGATTTTGAGAAATTGTTTAAAACACGTACTAAAGAGAAAGATCATATTATGAAGAAAGCAAAATGTAATACTATTTAGAAGATACTCACTTTGAGAAACAGCAACTGCACAACACAGAAATATAATGTATATCTGCAGCCTCATTTTCCAACTGGAAACAGTACGACTCCAGTTTAAAACGTATACTGTTTGTGTGACAGTGGGCGAGAGTTTGCCATATATCACTGTGTCTTAATTGCCTTAAAGTTTTAATATTTAAAATTGCTTTTATAACACAATTAAAAATTCAGTGAAGACATCGTATGGACATCAGCGTGTGAGTTGTTTTTATTTTATGAAACGCAGATAGAATAATTCACTTACACCTGTATTTTCAATTGCCATTATTTTATTCACTTTTGTGACTAAACGATCTTTGCATTTAACATAGAAATTGGTGTCAAGTGGACACATTATGCAAGTTCTTGGTCAAGGTAATTAATGAGGTTTGACAGCTAATCACAGTCGTTTCCTGCTAAAATATCATGATTAATTGCTGCTTACAACATCTCTAGATCAGTAATTAACCCTACCTTCATGTTTAGACAATTATATGTGTTATGGGTTGGAGACCCAATTTAAACAAATTACGTAACCACGGAAGACTTTCCAAATCTCTTTCGTCAGTTTAGGTCTAATTTAGCCAAATTCCATTTTTTTTAATAAAGATCCATTATGCATAAAAAAAATTAAGAAAGTACGAGGACTGTTCGGAAAATATTGAAACAATTGTGTTTATTCTTTTGTCTAATGTTCGCCTTTCGGTGAAAATTTGCATATACCTTTGACAAAAACTAAAAATTAATAAAAGCAAGAAATATTTTACAAATATTTAATTTCATTTTTTCAATGGTATATTAATGTGTCAATAGTAGTAGTACCTGACGCAGTCACGAAATCAGACAATGAAAATATGTAACACCTACGTTCAAAATACCGGATGGACCTATTGTAAGAGAGAAAATAATTCATATTATTTTATAATTTTTCTATTTTATTTTGACTTCATTTTGTGCAAGTTTGTTAGAATTTCAATCAGAAATACGGAGATCATTAAAAATAAATCACGGTATAGATATTAGATTAAGACGACAAATTGAATTTTTACGTCAAGGCGGCTCAGTGAGAATACCTAAAATTTTGTGTAACGCTGTGGAGAACTCTTGTTCAGATAAACAACCTGCTAAAAACATGTCTAGGTGTTTTTTAAAATTATTTGTATATTTTTCATTTGTATATTTTTTTCCTACAATTAATTCCCCCAGAGTAAAAACAAAGGCTCCGGACGACCATTATTATGGATTAAATAAAGTTGTCCCGTGGTGCAAAAACCGGTACTGCATGATGCTAAGTCATTCTGTATATGACACTTCATGTAATTTTGTATTGGGTTGCAACAACACACATTTAATTTTATTTTTTGAAGAGGCTTAAAAAAGAGAGAGTTTGATTTTTATAATGTTATGATAGAAAAAGAGAAGGTAATGCTTCGCGATCGTTTAAACATGAGAAAAGAAGAAAAAAAGATCTAAGTCTGACGTTAAAATGGCGTAGCAATGCTGCTCCAGGTCAAAAGACAAATGCAAGTTTATAATTTCACCGAGATATATCTGATTATCCCATTAATAAGAAATTTTACACAATTCTTGTATAATACTTGATGAAGTGTTAACGAATTTTCATGAATTTTTCCCTTTCCTTTATTGAATAAAAGTAAATATCTCAATAATTTAACAATAATAAAGAGCCCTCGTTTAAGAACATATGAAATTTGTTGATAAATGAAATAATCAGGAGAACTCATTAAAATTTGAGAAATGAATAATGTAAATTCAAGTAAATTAAAATTATTTACCCTTGTCTCTGGCTTTTTTCTTCAAAGAAATGAACATGATATTTTTTTTTATTAAATACAAAATTAAAGTGTTATTGTGAAATAACTAATTTTCGTGAGGGGAGGGGGTAATTTTCGTTGTTTTTGTGGTATGAAGAGAACCACGAATACATACCCTCCATAAAATGTTGAAATGTCGTACTACAGTTTAAAGTTTCTTCAAAAACTAAAAAATTAAATCCCCTCAAAATAGTGATTTTTCCTCTAACTACGAAAATTTGACCCCACGAAAATAAGTGATTTCATGGTATTGTTATTTAGAGTATATCGTCGTGACCTATCAAACTACAATATCGATAAAACATCGTGCACTGGACATAACTCACCTATCGTTGGATTGTATTTTGTCTGACATGATACATAGCCTTTGTTATAATTGTAATATTGCCCAAGATGGCAAGTGGAAAAATGAAAAGCGTAAAACCCTTAAAATGAAATAAATCAATTTGATAAATTAGTATATCACAGAAGTTTTGATTGATTATGATTGATATCCAGCTCTTGCCGAAAGCTTGAGGATAGAAATCAAAACTTGTTGGAAATGTCTTTTAGAAACATGTATATTTATAAAACACATGCATCACACAATCACCCCTCCCCCCCCCCCCAACCCCCCAAAAAAGACACTCGGACACAAATAAGTAAAAAAAAAAAGAAATAGAAAAACAAGCAAATAGCAAATATGAGAAAAGCAGTTTTAAAGAAGGGCAAACAACCAAAACATATTAGATCGAAAAGAAATCCTGGCAGCTGTATCTGTACCCAGATTCTGCTGATTTTCATAATCTTAAGAATAGACTACCTTAAACATCATTTTACTTTCTTTACAAATAAAATAAAGATTTAAAAAAAATATCACAATTGTAGGAAAGCATTTGAGCTTTAACATGTAGTGCAACTGATGGTATATTTTAAAAATGTTCAACAGATCACAATTGTTGAAAATATTTGAGCCGTTTCAAATAGGGCAACTTATTCTGACATTCCATTAGTACAAATAAAGCAACTGATAATTTATACATAATAAAACAAGGTGTAGTGTTTATATTTATTGTATTAATATTTACATTTACAAATGAAAAGCAAATTTTCATTTGCTTTATTTGAAAAATTTTTACAATGTATACAATGAAAATTGAAGCTTGTGGAATGGTTGATTTTAAATGACATGCGTTACATTCATCTTAAAGGTAAATTGCACTTCATGTTCACAATTCGGACCAAGTATATTTAAGAAAAAAAATCAGACTTAAAACAGACACAAACATTTTATTTCTATGATTCCAACCAATTTAACTTCAATATTCAGATAATTACATTAAGTACTGTAACTAACAGTTTCAAAATACTTAGAACGAGGCTGTATATTACAACAGGGATCAACAATTTTACTCTCAAGTGCAGTTAAATTAGAACTTTTTCATTATCCATATGCCTAGTCAGCTGATTGTTGCACATTTTAAGTAAATAGAGCAGGTTTATTAAAATTTTAAAAAAGCTTATTCAAAATGTACAAAGGATGACTGCACTTAACGCCGGTTTTGGGTCTTTTTCAGTTGCTTCTGTTGCTTTTATATTTAAACTTTATTTCACTTTTGTATGTTTATGAAAGAATCCTGTCAATTTGAAACCAGATTTAAATCTTAAAATGATTTTAGACTGTGTTACAATAAAATGATTCAATGTTTTTTGTCCTTACTGCTTTTCAAATATAGAGAATTTACACTTACCTGCCCTTGATTGATCATAAGATATGCATGAGAGGTGGAGCTAACATTGTAAGAATAGGTCTAAAATTAGACTTGATAAATAACAATGACTTGTTTGAAAAAAAGAACGTGATCACTCTTTCCAATCTTCCTCTCCATTCTGTATGGCACAAATATACTACTGACAAAGGTTTCAAAACGAAATTAACGATATGAGCACGTCTATGTAATTACAGCAGATTTTATATTAATGCCAGATTCCTTAACGTATTCGAACACAATGTCCTAGTAAGCACAAAACATGCTACCTTACAAGTCACGTGACGGAATATAGTATTCACAAAGTTATCTGAAGTACGAAATCACGTGGTGAATTATAATATTCATCATGTCACAACCCTTGGTTACAACAGAGAGAGCGAAAGTAAGAAGAAGCAGTCTTTTTCTCTTTTTTACCATGAGCGCATGTTTGCCTATTAATCTCCTTTTGGCACATTATTATTTATGCAAATATACAATAACTGTTAAACGTAGAACAATAGACGAACATGCGCTGACTATGTATGAAGTCAGTAAAAAAGTGGACGTCCTCATTATCGAACGGAGATTCAAGAAATTGTGATGACCCCTCCCTTTGAAAACAGATTCGAACTTCGTAAATACATACTTTTATTAAACGTAATTACATAAAGTTGTAGATTGGATGTTGACCATTCTTGCAATGAAAAGAAAAATGCTTGTTTTGAAAGTTTATTTTGTCGCAAATTTCGCATGTCATTTAGTGCAGTCATCCTTTATTTAAAGATGTATATGAGGTAAAATCTGAAGGAAAATAGTATGAAATATCACTTTTCTATCGTATATTGCTTTTATATCCGTATATTCTAAACGCCCGAGCAGTTGATCCTTACGTCGCGGGGTCGAATTCCCACTGTGGGAAGTGGAGACCGGTCCTGCGGATGAGACCGTATCAACCGAGGTCCCACGTCGCAGTAGATGCTGGCACGAAAAAGATTCCTCACTGCTCAATGGCCTTGAGTGCTTAGTATAGGTCAAATTTAGCTGCTCACCACTGGCAAGTGGTGTCTCCATATGAGTGAAAAATTCTCGAGAGGAACATTAAACAACAAACAAATAAACAAACAAACTTATATTCTAATGATATTAAAAAAAAATATCACGTAAATATTTGTCTCATTTCATAAGTGGCTCAATTGAATTGATAGCATTTTCATAACACCGAATCGAGCTATAATGCAGCAATGTATAATTCTAATAGATTTGATTACTTTTACATCAATAATTCCAAAGAAAAAGCAAACGTACACATGTAATTATTTGCATCAGGATTGTTAATTTCTGAGACAAAGTCTGTTTTTGAAGCACATAATTGGTCATTTTGAGAGTTTGTTCCCATTTATTAATGTTTTTCCATGGAAGTGTAAAAATGATGTCATAATATGTTAGTTAAGACTGATTTATTCAAAACAAACTTGATATCATTGCTTATTGACGCCTAAATCGTTTTAATACTAATGAATAAAAAAAATCTCAAAAGTTTAAAGAAGCAGTTTGATGCTACCTGTTTATATATCTGGAAATAGAAATTACAAATAGGAGTTATTCTATTCCAATCCCCTGAGTATTTTACTGAC